AAGCAACTCAAGTGATTAAACAACAATGCACGCTAGCACATGCACACAGACGCAAGTCCTGCTGCACGCAGGGACCTAAAGCACCGTGCTAGACGATCCCACTTTGATGCACTCGTTCGTGCACCCCGTTATCCCAGCGTGCTGCTTTCGTCTGATCGGATCACGTGGCAAAGTTTGTTGCCGATATCCCAGCGTGCGCTGGTATGGGGAAAGCGGAAGGCGTCTGAGCGGATCGCTCCGCCGAGATCGACACATTATTACATTGCTTCGGACGTTTGATATGCACACAACATATACATGTACGTCGAATGTAAGTGATAGGTACAAAGCCATGCATGCGCATGTTCCTACCTACCTATACTTGCATACATATCGGCATGCTAATTCAAAGGCAGGTTGGTACTGTACTTATGCCCGTTTGCGAGCCTGGGACCTTGCCGTGCTCGGGGCAACCATGCCGCAACCTGCAAGTGAAGCATTCGTGATTTTGGAAAGGTGCCGATTCAAAAGAGGATAAGCAGCTGCGACCTTCGCCCCGCAAACCTGTCGCGCTGCCGCTTGCATCATGCTGGAAGCTACTGTGTGATGTAGAACGAAGACCGCTGTGTCTGGAATCTCACTATACCAGTCTTGCAGCTTCGCAAACTTGGGTATTCGCGGGATTTGATTCGGATGATGACATATGAGTATTGAAATCCGCTGTAAAACGGCTGAGGTGCATTCGCAAGCCACCTATCCGAGTGATCGCCTGTCCAATCGATCGGAAACCTCCCAATGACACCATGCCGTGACGCAAAGCCATGCGCACAACAGCACAGCACAATAAAGCTGCTCTTGTATGAACAAGAAAAACAATACTTGCATCACACTTTGCTGAGAAGTACCGCCTGCGGCGGCTACGCTTTGTTTGCGTGCTCAGCAGATGCCCTCTGTGTAGGGCCACTAGAAGACAACTTTTCATGAATGAATGCATCAATCAATGATTGAAAATGTCCCTCTAGGTCGCTAAAGTACTAGCATGTACTAGCCGTTGCTAGCTCGCGAACTAGTGTATCAAGCTGTTTTGTCTGTTGGAGCCAGCTTGGAATCTAGAATGCTGTCATCGCCGGAGATCAACGGACATGACAATTATTCTGAAAGGTGTACAGACAAGCCAAAGAATACGCTGGGAATCGATTTGCTTGCAGACGTGGTGGATTGGAATAAGCAGCACGGGGCATCGGAGCTATTCTATGTTGGGCTTCAGGTTGCCGGATCCAATTTTTGAGACCATGGTGTGCCATTGTGGAGCTTGTCTTTTTAAGCTGTCGCCTGCACCTTACATCCAAGGCAACTCGTGGTTGCTGCAGTCTGGCTGGCAGTGTCTGCGCTTTGCAAAGGCCTTCATCGGTCGGACATTCGATAAACTGCAAGAGTCCAGAACGTATCGCAGGGTGAACCTGCAACGAGTACCAGCAGTACTGGCCGTTGTCGCCGTAGGAACCGAACGCACCACAGCCAGAGGGAAGTGCCGGCCGAAACACCAAGGTGTTCCCGGTCAAAGGCTCTCCTTGTGCAAAGGTCTGTCAGCAAGGTGTCCAAGAACTGCCGGTCAAAGATGTCCACTTCAAAGCGCCGCTGTGTTCCAAGTTGGCACGGTTTGTCATCGTGTTCTATCAATGCGAGTGGCGAGCGAGTGGCGCAACTTCGGAAACTGCGGAGAGCCGTTGTCGCTGGAAGCTGGCAGGCTTCAGCAATCCTCCTGATCCGCAGAGATGCATCTGGAATACTTCACGTCCCACCACGCTAAGCTCCTCGCAACACAGGTCGAACTTCCAGCTTGAATGAGACAGATGCACGTGATCGCGACACCACCACAGCACGTGTCCTTTACTCCATGGTTGACTCGTCCAGCCACGGGCACTGAGTTTGCGGTGATGGGCAGCAGATTTCAAAATTTTACCAAGCCAGCCCGTCAACGTGGCGACAGACTTCTATTCCCCCACTGGTGCCAAGGACAGGAACAAACCTGGTTCACAGCCAAAGGCTCCGCTCTGTCGCAGATCACAGATGATGACAAGACAAGTCCCGGCCTGCGGCTTTGGACAGGGCCAAATGCCTGAACAGCAGCTTCGCAGTTCATTCGTTAAATGTGAGATGTCGAGAACAGAATAGCTTGAGCCTGGGATCTTTCAACACAGCGCTGCTTCCACCTGGGGTACTCCTCTGGCGCGCCACCTGAGCAGCACGACTCTGAGAACACTCCGGCAGGCTGATCAGGCTACTGTTGCTTCAGTTTGAAGCCGCAGACGTTGGAGCCCTCGTTGGTGAAGAGTCCAGAAAAGTGTGTACCTTCGCGCCGAGACCGGACTGTCGAAGAGATCAATTGCCGCGACACATCAAAGCCTCGTGGACAACTCGTGCAAAGAGGCACCATCTCCACATCTGCCGATGCACCATCTTCGCATTTATCTGGAGATACTGCGCACCCTTGTAGGCAAACGTTTGGAAAGGATTGAAAAGATGCCACAGATGAACTATCTTGATTCCGTTGTCCATTGGGAGGGAGAAGTTTGGCAACATGTCATTGCCTTCATTGTCGCTCTCATAATGAAGAAATGGCATGACGTCCAGCAATTCTGGATAAAGGTTGTACGTGAGCGGTATGATGTTGTAGCTGTGGTTGAAATATGCATCCAGCAAGTCTTGCTCAACGAACGGCGACAACGTCTCCACCCCGTGGAGGCCTTCAAGGAGATGGTCGAACCTAAGCCATGTCTTGCAGCTACCCATTATCTTCAATGCCATGAGCAGAACAGAAACGAAATCCGCTAAGGCAGCATCTTGACACTGTCGGGCTCCAGGACCATCACGCCAGCACTCAACTTGGGCTTGTCCAGCTCGCCCATCAAAGTGTCCTGCTGCAGCTGGCCTTGAGACCTGCTTCCTACTTTCGGCTTCGTCTTCCAGGCTCAGCGGACAAGATTATGACCCGTCCTTGTTCACCGTGGCAGAAGGAGACGGCAACCAGAAAAGTTCATCAACATTTTGCAATACCAGCGTATCTGCATCCTGCACTCCGTGTTTTAAGATATTCCACGTCAAAGGGAGCAGCTCAACCCTCGTGAAAGGGGGTCCATCATGACGATCTTCCTGATCCCCTTCTGGTCAAGTTGCAGCACGCGCAGCTTCGTTAATACGAACTCGTACCGACTCGACCGGCTGATTGAGAGAGCCTCGGCTGCGTCAGCACAGCCTGGTCATCATGAGAATATACGTATGAAATCGATGGGTGCAATTTGCTGAAGCTCAGTTTGCGGAGGTCTTGAAAGGCCTCAGATGCCTCAGGCTTGTGAGGAAACACGGCTTTGGCGCCTCATCAGAGGACTCCAGAAAGCAAACCCACCCTCGCGGACCGTGGACATCACAAGCACAAACCGTCGAGGCGTGCGGGTCCTGGGGTCTGCACGCTTTAGTCTCGACCCTTATCATCTCAAATCCCGAGCCCACGGGATCCCCGGCCCACGGGCATATAGCTTTTGCATACATGTACCAGTTACGTGACCCGGCTTCGGCCGATGCCGCGTCTTTGACCCCAAGAGTACAGAGGTACGCCTCAAGAGTTTCAAGAGAAACATAGAGAAACAACGCATCAGCCCAGAAATCCATGCGCATGTTGGGAAATCATGTGTAGTTGCGCGTGCTGCGGCACGCGACCGCGCGGGACTGGGTTCTACCCACGCTTAGTGTGCTACATGTACTAAACAAAACACCACATGGGCTTGGTAGCGTCACCTTGAAGCCACGTGGCAGGGGATTGAATCGGATCGGTCAAATAAATGTCGCAACAGCACCTGCTTCACAGAACGATCACTCCGCATCCGGCAGGCTGGCAAGACTTCCCCGGCCTCGAAAGAATTCTAATCTTTCTCCTTTCAATTTTGCCTCTGGCTACCATGCAAAGCCGGCGAAACGTTGAGCCAGAAGCGATAAGACCCGTTGCCCATACGATTGCATTGTCCACATAATCTTCGGTCCAGATGATTGTGACATACGCGAAATCTTTTCCGGATCTTGGCTGTAGTAACAGAGGCTCCTGAGAACTTTGTATCAAGGTGGACATTCTCTTCTCTTTTGGGATAGTCGAGGCGTCCTCAGCGGCCGGCCTACCGCGATAACCAGCCTCGTAGAGACGAAGATTCCTGGAGCAAAGCACGCCAACTTGCGTGGATCTTCGAGAGAGCTTTTCCGGTGTCCTCCTGAGAGCATCCGTCCGATTCTGCGGGTCGCTTTTCTGAACCGCGAAGGACGTGGTGTGTGTATACCAGCAGCTCCTTGCCAGCGCTGCGATTGCACACAACAGGAAGGGGTAAGGCGCGGCAAATCAAGTCGTCCTCGTCCTGTCTAGTCCATCCACGAGAAATACCTGCATCAACATCAGCCAAAATCAGGAGAAGGTCTAAGTCGAATCACTAACGACTCCGCATGACATTCTGCTCATCGACCGCAAAAAATAGACCGCATGCACTGCCCGGTTTCCGATGCGCACACGAGAAAAGAAAGGAGTCTTGACACACATCACAGCGGAGTACAACACTTGTGTTTGCAATGTCGTCAACAACTCGCACGGGTTTGCGACTGTGAAGTGCACGGACATTCCCTAGTGAAGCTCTCAACAAGAAGTCGGCAAGACTAGCGTCCTCCCTCTTCTGGTACTGGAACCTCTAGGCAGCTGTTCGGTAGATCAACAGGAGCGAGCCCGAGTCCGGTTTAGATTGTCTCATATTGTCTCTTATGTTCGTCCGTTAATCAGCAGCAAACCCTCACCGGCATGTTCGCTCGCATACAGCTCCAGGTAGGATGTGCAAAAACATGTTTTGGCCGACCCCACGCCGGACTTGTACGAATTGAAAGAAGACGGTTTGGGATTTTGGCTGTGCAAAGTACGAGGACCTGAACATAAGCACCTTGACGCAGGACTTGTCTAGCATATGTCTTTGGGAAAGTTGCGCGCAATAGTGAAATTGATGCTAGCCTTCAGTCCAACTGCTGAAGAGAAGAGGCATGCAGGGTCTACTGTCGGATCTTCCACACTTTTAGGAGCCGTCGCAGGCCACTGTTGAAGCTCTAGGCAACAGGCGGTGCAGCCGTCAACCCCGAACCCTGACAGCTTTGGAAGGGTCCTCTCTAAGCTCTGCGTGTTTGTGTGCGCGCACTCGGTGTGAAATTGTGGGCACCGACCGCGCGCCCCCGATCGTCCCGCAGCCTTGATGAAGTACTTGCCCGACTGGAGCCCGAAAACTTCGATGTTCAACTCGTCAGACCGTAAAGTTGAGAATGTAGACATTTCGTGGCCACGGTCTGCATCGGTGCCTGTGATGACGGCTATGATGTGACCACTTTCTTTCAATCGGAAGTCTCCCCAGATCTTCGTGCGGAGCACAAAGGGCGACATGGTTGGAGGCATGGTCTGGCCTGGCCTGACAGCTCTGAAGGAAAAAGACCCGCTAGAGAAGAGCAGTTGCCCACCTTGGCCACAAGATTGCCACGCCTGCCTGCCAGGCCAATAGGCTTAGCTGACAGGCAGCAGGCTTCATGCAGCGGAAGTTGTGCTGATTGTCGATTGTCGGCTACCAAATAAACGTGTGTGTGTGTGTGTCTCTTTCTTTCGCCAGGGCTACGACCGAGGGTTGCCCCTCGATCGCGCGCATCAAGCGCCCCCGTATGTTACGGGGCGAGCTGTGAGAGTAGTGCAATGCAACATGAAGGCAATCAGCGCACAGAAAAGACCAACCAAAAGGTACGGAAAGAACCGCTCGGATTGCCTCCTGTGCGCGAGTAGCTATCTGGGAGGTTCCCCAGGCTCTCTTCTGCTTTCGGTCATGGAATCCTTCCCTAAAGAACAATCACCACAAACAGATCAACGCATAGTAGGGCGATTGCCCGGGATTCCTGACAAGCAGTTTTCGGGCTAGCTGGAGCGGCTTAGAATTTGTCGGGCCACAGTCTCATTGTGTGTGTCTGTCTCTCTCTCTCTCTCTCTCTCTCTCTCTCTCTCGCTCTATCTGTCTCTGTCTCTCTGTCTTTCTTTCTTTGCTTCTCTCCCTCGGTCCGCGCTCTGCTTGTCCCTCTGGCGGATATC